AAATTTTTCCTTTAAATTGTGATTCCAATTTGGAATTGTTTTTACTCAATTTTTTTGTTTGCTCAACTTTTGTGTAATTTGGTTTTATATAATTTAATTCCTGTGCATGATCTTCAGCTTTCGCACACCACTTTCTTGTCTGCATTATTTTTTAAAAGAGTTTAATATGACTTATTATTGTAACAGTATTTTTGACATAAATGTAACGGTGAGGTTACTTTTAGGTATATCCAGATACATCGCTCAATCTATGCCTGGATATATTGTTGCACAAGGGTGTAAGCGGTGTGCCAGTGGTGGAGCACAAAACGTTTCGTGTCGTAGATATGTATTCACGATTTGATGCAATTGGTGTGGCACTGGAGGATAAAATGGACGATCTTAACGTTACGGTGCAGGAAGCATTAGCTTTCCGGAATACATTTAGGGTGGGTTTCTGCTACTGCTAACGCAATCGCGAATTTCAGAGATGTTCCGTTACCAGTGACAGTGGAGTTGAACATCTTTTTTTTGATAGTCGAATAAAGTGTAAACATCCAGTAGCTGGGGCAAAGGAAGAGAGGCGACGGTCTTTTCTTCGTTGGAAGGCTTAAGATTGCCGTTTCTGTTTAAATTGGTAATTGTTAGAGGATTCACTTTGTTAGAGGATCCATGTTCACGTTCCGAGGCCCTCCATTATACTTCCGAATCCGATAGTTCTAGCTGAAGTATGTATTGGCGTTTTTCTTTGGACACTAATAATCAAAGTTGTAACAGTACTGAAGAAATGGATAATCCGGACGCGGTAACTACGGGGGTGTCCTAGAGAGGTTACTTTGTTAGAAAAATTCAAAATTAACTCCTTCGTTTGTTCTTTTTCTGGATAGTTCCAAAAGTACCCTTTGTAATTCCAGCTGCATCATATTTGGTAATTCCAGTTTTCCAGTGCGTAGTAATTGTCATTTTGTTTAATTGGCTTAAATATTTGTGAAATAATTTATAGTTAGAAAAGGATCGCGTTGTTTCGATATCGGTTGACGACTCGCTATGGACTGCGCTGACAGTGCTGGTGGATAGGAATGTTCATAGACTTTGTGTTTTGAAAGATAATGGTGCTATTGACGTAAGCTTGTTTCGATTAATTTCATTTATTTTCAGAAAAGCATACCCCTTTCCGAATCAGATATCAAAAGTGCCCCTCAGTTAGCTTTATGGCTTAATCTTTAAAACTGTTGATTAATTTCACGCTGCATCATGTCGCTTTATCTTGTTTAAGCGTCTGGAAATAGAAGTTATGCAGCTGTAAAAATCTCAGGAAAAGTGGACATGAAGCCAGACTAAGGCTTAATTTGGCCACTCTTAATTTTATGCAAAATTTGGGCAGTACATAGGACATTTTGTAGACATCATTTGCTGTTTTCTGGTCAGTTATCAAAAGAAGAAGTCAAACGAAAAGCACACGTTCCTATTCCCGCGTGTTCTTTTATAGTGTGCATTTCAGGGTTTGATTTCGTTATCTGATGTGATAAATTATTTGGTTGTGAGAACTGCCGAAAAA